TCTGCTTAGCCATTCCCCAGCATGCTCCTCTCCGATCATGGCTTTGAGACCATGCTGTCTCAAGCATCCAGGTTTGGCAGGGAATTCAGCAGTGGGCCCAGTGGTTAGTGCTCTTTTCCTTTGGGGGTTCCGTATAAGCGGTACTCTCTTAAATTATGCAATAGTCTCCCAGAAGTGCTGAGTGGACTTGGGCTATTTGAACAAAGAATGGAGGAAACACGAGCAAAAGTGCAACAGGGAACAAATCTGCAGTGGCAGAACAGACTAGCTGATGTTCCTGGCTTTGGAAAGACAGTAAACACAAGCACAAGCATTACAAACAATTTAAAATAATTACTTATCGGTCTTAATAAAGTCCTTTAGCTGGTGCCAACTTTGGATGCTTGAGACTGCATCCTTCTGGAACATCTATGACAACAGCTTGGTGTGTTGCAGGGAATTGCATTTCCTTTGTTGGGGAAGCAGTTTGCAAAGTTTCCTTGATTAAATTATGATTTTATACATTACAGCCTGTGACCAGAGGGTCAATTCAGCTCAGCTCATCTGAGTTATCAGGCCTCTACAAGCCCAGTGTGATGATGCATCCCCTCAAGCACTCTCAATAAAACCCTCAGCAGGCCGAATATTGCGAAGGATCTATAATGTTCGGGTACCTACTGGCCCTGCCATCCTGACTGCAACTAGTACTGGGCTTCCTTCTCTCTAGTCTAAATTTTCCTTGACTGTTCCCTCTGCTGGCAGCCCTTTCCCTTGTGTCTAATTGTGCTTCTGACACACACAGGCTCTGGTGGAGGCAGGCATAATAAACTGCAACAAACACACACAGTAAGTTTAAGATCATGTCCCAACTGACTTAATTGGGATGCTGGAGATTTCTAGCCATGGCACCAGATTTTTCACTTTAATTTTTACTGATATGTATTAAATAAGCACTTGCCAGCAGCAGCAAAAGCTTCTTGCCACTTGCGAAGCCAGTCAGCAATTGCTCTCCACAGCCACCAGAGGTCACCCACCCGAGTATTATTATTATTAGACAATCTTTCTATTAAGCAGCCACCATTCTTGTCTGTGTGTCATGAGATTTTCAACTTACCGCTCCTGTGCATGCGCCAATGTGGCCCAGCTGCTGCCATCGCAGGCCTCTTGTCACTGCCCCCGCCTCCCCTCTCCCCACCCCGGCCTGACCGTGTCATGGGCCTCTTTCTGCCACCTCCCTGCCACCACAGGAGCCGTCGTGGGTGAGCCTCGGCTCATGGAGGAGGGGAGTTGGCTGCACAGTGCTGCAGATAAGAGCATGCCGCAAGCAGACCTCTGTCCTGTCATAGGCAACACGCTAGATTTATGACCAAAAAACAATAAAAATAAATTAAATTTTGAAAGACAATCTTTCTAGAAGCGCACTAAAAGACTAAAAATAAGAACAAAGTGCACCAAAAAGTCAAAAATAAAGTTTTAAGCTAGCAATGTAGGAGAGACACGGGAAGGCTAAGTACAATCCAAGGCTGACTGTTACCCATCCCGTCTCTCTCCTACATTACTACCTTAAAACTTTATTTTTGACTTTTAGGTGCACTTGCAACCATGTAGCAAAACAGCTGGTGAGTGGAAGCTGAGTGCAGCCCACAGCAGGGATACACCCAGAGATGGGGATGGGCACCAGCACTGGCACTGCCACATACACAGCATGCTGTTGCCTAGAATACCACAAAATGTAGCACAACGGTGCCCCAAATTTTGTGGTGTCCACAACAGCTGCATATTTATTGTGCTGGTAGGAACAACTCTACAAGGGTTTCCTTTGAGGACTGAGAAGTCCGACAGAAAGCCCACTGTGAGAAGTGTTCACTCAAGGGGACAGGCTGACTTTCTGGATGAGTTCACTCAAGAATCTAGCAATTAGTATCACCCACATAATAAGGAAGTGAATATGGTAGATGAGGTATGCCATGTGCTGTGATTGGCGCGTGGAGGATCCATGGTGCTCTCACCAACAGAGGGTAGTCCAATAAAATATATTACCCATCCCACCTTGTGTCTCTGATAATCTGGGACAAACATGGCTACAACTACACTTAGAATTATAGAAGATGAGGGTTGGAAGAGACCTCAGGGAACCATCAAGTTCAACTCCCATTCAAAGCAGGACCAATCCCAACTCAATCATCCCAGCCAAGGCTTTGAAACCTCTAGGGATGGAGATTCCACCACCTCCCTAGAGAACCCATTCCAGTGCTTCACCACCCTCCTAGGGAAATAGTTTTGTTGAGGTTACTTTGAGATTACCTAAATCAGTGTTTCTTAAACTTTTTAAGACCGAGGAACACCAAACAATTTTTTTATGAGGAACACCAAGAATTTTTTGTTGAGCACCAAAAAAAAAAAGTTGGGGGGAAGTTGAGGGGAAAAAGGGTCGGGGAAAAGTAGACAAAAAAGGTCACCTGCCCCTTTAAGGGTGGCCATTTTGAATTCTGTTCTCCGCAGCACACAGGTGTGCTGCAGAACAGAGTTTAAGAAACGAAGTGGGTCTTTGCCCACAAAAGCTTATGCTCCTACACTTCAGTTAGTCTATAAGGTGCCACAGGACTCCTCGCCGCTTTTGGTGACCTAAATGAAATCCTTCAGGGTATGCTTTAGCAGGACATTTAAAAACTGACTTTTCATTCCAATTCAGGGTGAAAGAAAGTTTCAACGGGTTCTGACAGACCTGTAAGTAGCTGTCTTGTCACAAACCAGCTCCACAAGCCAGATACACAGGGAGGCCCTGGAATCACAGTTCATCCACAAAGTCAATTCACATGCTAATAGACTCAATGTGATATAGGCTGGTGGGGACTCTACCTACTTAATAACCACTGAAGGTTCTAACAGCTCTGAGTGGTTTCCTTCCTGTCTTAGGACTTTATCTATTGACTTGGATTTTTATCTGCTTAGGTTTAAGTACCCATTCTCCAGATACTTAACCATACTCTGTCTCCCACCTCCCCGCTCTCTTTCTTTCTCTCCACCCTCCCCTATTTATTTCGAGTTTTCGTATCCCCAACTCATAACTCCGGTCATCTGAAGTGGGCTGTGCCCATGAAAGCTCATAATACCCATCTACATATTTTGTTAGTCTATAAAGTGCTACCAGACCATTTTTTCCCCCTGTAACAGACTAACTCCACTACCCACTTAAGCTCCAACTTTTTATAGAACACCATTGGGCTCAGATTGGCTGCCTCAAACACTTTCACCATTGGCTCCTGGGGGCTGTGTTAACCCTTTACACTCCACAGCAGGTAAACTGCCCCACCACACACTGCAGTATCACAAAAGTGGCATGGATAAAACCCCCGCCAACCATCACCATCACACACTAACACAAAACCCATCACAAAGGTATGAATAAAGACCTTACCTGGCTAGCACACTACCTTCCACAGCCTAATGACTTAAATTAAACAATGGGTACGTAAGAACAATTTGCATCTTCTCTATTAGCTTCATGTAACATGAACACTGACCTCTCCCCTTCCCCGCATTTTCCCTTCCTTCTATCCCTTAATATTTATTTTGGAACTGGACCTTTAATATTCCAGTCATCTGAAGAAGTGGATTGTGCCCATGAAAACTCATGATCTCATCTACATGTTTTGTTAGTCTTTAAGGTGCTGCTAGACTATTTGTTTTTTAAGTTTTTCCAGTTACAGACTAACTCAGCTCCCCCTCTGAAGCTCACGCATGACCTCAGCTATGTTATTGGAGAGTAACACCTTACATGTATGATGTGCCTGACAGATGTACTATCAATGCAGGAGTGTAGAAAGCCACTAAGGATGTTGGTTTTCAGTATCTGTTAGAGATGGAGTGAAAGCTCCGTGGAGGGAAGAGTGTTGTTGATAGCAGGGTAGGTGATGCTACGCAGCAAGGAATACACAAGATTTTTCCCTCTCTCAGGCCTTGAATCAGAAGGTATATTAAATCATCACTGATAAAGTTTTAGTAATAGAGATGTAGCCATGTTAGTCTGGTCTTGCTGAAACAAAAGACAGGACTATGCAGCACTTTAAAGATTAACAAGATGGTTTATTAGGTGATGAGCTTTCATGGGCCAGATCCACTTCCTCAGATCAAATTGTGGAAGAAAATTTCTTTTTTTTATTAGGTTATGAGCCCACGAAAGCTCATCACCTATTAAACCATCTTGTTAATCTTTAAAGTGCTGCATAGTCCTGTCTTTTGTTTTGACAAAGTTTTAGTATATTAGTTTGCTAAGGGTTGAAGCTCTGCTCCAAGCAGCTGGCTGGACCAAACACAAATCTTTGTAAGGCTTCATAAATCTCTCTAAGGCTCTTTGAGCACAGTAACTGTATAAGGAATCTTCAGGTTGCCAAGCTAAGAGAGAAGCACCTCTTCTGTGGATTAGGGATGTAACAGTTATAGGTTAATGCTCCAGACTACACGCATTTCCCTTCTACCCCTTGCCAGTAAGTTTTTTAGCAGGCTGGCCAGCAGCCCCGCTCAGTTCAGGCTTGCACTGGGTCCTGGATCTACCCCTGCTGCGGCTCTGCATTTAAAGCGTATAAGGCACCAGGTGGGAAGGCAGCCCAGCTCAGTTCTGGCTTGTACCAGGTCCGGGAGCTCAGACCCCTCCTCACGGACAGGGGCTTCCCGGAGACTATAGAATAGTTGACTAACCAATAAGAATTCATGAGGTTAATCGACTATTCAATTAACTGATATTTAACATCCCTACTGTGGCTGTGCCAGCGAGAAGGAACATCACTATGCTACTACCCATAAGTCTGCAATGTGCACCTCTCAAGAACTATTCACATGCTCATGTAAATAAGGATTTTACCCTGTTCAAAGCAAGATCCAAGGCACACTGAGAAGTCATTGCATTCTCCACTTTTAGTGTGCATCACTGAATAAATGTGATACTCACTCTGCTCTCTTTGAAGATGGTATTCAGATTTGATAGCTACTGTGAGGACTACAAAAATCAACTGCATGCAACATAAGAGTCATTCCTTTATTTTGTAATCAGAGAATTCCACACATTTTACCTGATCAATAGCCCTATGTCTGCAGATTTGGTCACATATACCAATTGCCCATCACTCCTCCACTCCATTATTCAGTGCACCAGAACTGTCAGACTAAAAAGCTGCTGAAGGTTGATTACATCCAAAGAAAACCCATCCCCAACTCATAAGCTATTTCGTTACGAATGAGAGTAACACCATACTACATTAGGACACTGAAAAGCTTGCCTGCAAGTGATGCTGCATTCCTGGGCTCAAGCCACAAGACCACTGTACAGGCCTGCTCCCACAAGTGGAAAAGAATGTGCCTCAAAGTTCTCCACCCTCCAGTAAATCACAGGAAACGACTGTTATTAAGGGTCATTACTGTACACCAAACATTGCAAGTGTCTGTGCAAGAGCAAAAGGCATTGCAGAAAAGAGGGAAGAGCCCTTTGGTATGTCAGAGTCTGCAACTTATATCAGGAACAGCCTTCCCTGAAGAGGAGAACAGTTCTTACTTATTTCTGGCCAAAACACAGACCTTGAAACTGATGCAGAGGTATCGTCAAGAAAAATAGTTCTGTAAAAAATGTACATTCTTTGCTCCCAACTGTGCTACATAAGAGTCCCAAACAAGTTTCTCATTCTGTAGCATAGTAATTGCTGCCAACTACACCAAATGTGAAGGGTTATGTACAAATTTCTGATAAAGCAGCTACATTTCACAGAAATCAACATAAGATACCTTCCTTATTTGGAGAGGAAACGTGACATAAGGACACTGTTTTACAAGTTCAGTGCAGTTGAAAGCAAAGATGTGTCAGTCCCACTGGAGTTTGCCTTACAGTTTGATTTTGCACCATCCTTTGAAGCTCTTATATTTTAGCTGGCTTATGCTGTCTCATGTGTGCAGCGATAGAAGAGGCAATCTCAGAATTCTTCTTGTTCTGGCCATAGTAGTCCACAAAGTCTCCATCTGGCCCAATGAGGTACATAATAATGGTGTGATCCACCTGTAAAACAGCAGGAAGCAAATTGGTGCTGCAGCGTCACACAGGACTGATAAGCCTTTCAATATGATTCTCTCTGACTGGAAATTTACCAACAAGACAGACTCTAGTTAGAGTAGAAATGGGGCAAGTAGGAGGAAAGTCAAGAACAAGCTTTAAATAGACACTTTAAGGAGGAGAGCTGTGCAGCGGCTGCAGGCAGCTTCCCTGGCTCCGGTCTTCAAGCCTGGCAGGTGGAGAGGACAAGACAGGATGAGAACATGAGGCATAACCTGTTTTCCCCCTAACTTTTCCCTCCTCCCAGCTCTTCTGGGGCCCGGATTAAGCAGAGGCTCTTCCAGCTCCTGCCAGCCTAGCATCTCTGAGCTCCCACAGCAAGACGGGCACTTAGTGTCTGAGCTTCGTCTGATGTAACTCAAAGGGTTAGGGCAGTGGAGAGGCTCCAGTAACTGACTCACACTCAACGAGGGAAATAAAGTTCCTGAGAAATGTGAGCTATGGGGAGAAGGCTGTGAATGTGGGGAAAGGCATGTGTGCTCTGGTATGGGGCTCCCTCTGCTGGCTACACGGAGCTAGTAAAGAAGCTTCAGCAGCCTTTCTAGCAGGGTGGAAAGGTTTCAATTGAGGCAATATAAAAAGCTTCCACATTTTTAAAGTTGTATTAAAATCAGATTGAGACTTCACAAAGTCTGTAAAATGTGCCCCTGGATGTAAGATGTAAATGATTTAACCTCCATTTGCTGTGTTTGCACAACACCCAGCTCAAGGGCGCCTTGGTCCCAGTTCAGGTCTTTGGGGCTAACCCTCTAATTTAACCATTTAGCATCAGCAATATTTGTCAACAGGCATTTGTTACAAAGGGTCTTCAGTTACCAGAATTCTCTCTCTGGACTTAAAATCAGTGAAACAGGAGCCCTCAGGCCCAGGCCCTGCTTTTACTCACTATGTAGTCATTGTCTTCATCCTTGGGGCCTGAACTGTAATACACACGATAGGCTCTTGCCACCTGCTCAATCTGCTCCTTGGTACCAGTCAGTCCAACCAGTTTGGGGGAAAATTCTACACACAGAAGCGTAACACATTAGCCATTCCAAGATCCCGCCCCCCAGAACCAGCTCTGGTGGAGCCTCGTCACAAAGGAAAGCAATGAGTAACGCACAGCTATTCGGTGCAAGGAAGAGGCAGGTAATGGTACCTTTCACATATCTGGCAATGGCTTCTCCAGTGTCCCTCTCAGGGTCAATGGTAATGAAGAGTGGAGTCACATCTGGCAGAGATGGGATCTTGTCTGTCACCACAAAGATTAACAGTTAATGTTGCTCTCAGCAGCCCAATGCCACAGCTCACCTCTGTAGAACGAGGTTACAGACACATTGAGTCATAGTCCAGAGGGCCTTTCTGGCACAGCCTGAACGATGAACACATTGGAATGATACAGGCAGGTTAAATAACATCTAATGTTTAAAGGCAGGAAGTGCAATGAGATAAAATGGACTTCTCCAAACCCTTCTGTCTGCCCTGGGAGGCCCTCTTCTTCCTATTAGGGATGCGAACAACTGGTCGACTATCTGCAGGCTGCACTCAGCGTTTCAAAGCAGCAGCGCCGTGTGGAGCCCAGGGTCTGCTGGGCACTTCCCCGCAGACCCTGGGCTCCATGTGGCGCTGTCTCTTTGAAACGGGCTCCCCGCGGCGTTTCAAAGCAGCAGTGCCGCATGGAGCCCAGCGTCAGCTGGGGACTCAGAGTCCATTAGATGTTGTTAATTAGCCAATTAATCTAAATTTAACATCTCTACTCTTTACTAGGGCTCACAAGCATTTCATCACCTATCGAGCTAGCCCATCCTTCTCTGAGAAGGACGACACATCATGGAAGGCTCCTCCTGCAGCAGCAGCACAATAAGTAACTAAGGCTACTTGCTGCAGCAGCACTGCACATTCCTAGGGCTATCTGCCACTCTTCATAACATATCAAGTTTGCTTCTAGGGAAACTGAGAAACCTGTCGCCAACAAATCCCACGCCTCACTTGGCCCAGTGGCCATCTTTCAGCCATCCTCACTGTCACAACAGAGCTAGAACCATTTCTCTGCCTTGTTCCTTCCCTCACACCTTTGACCAGAGCCATCTGATTTCTTCCCTGCTAGGAAAGCGTCCATCCTGCAGGCAGATACCATCCAGGCTCTTCCTCCTTTACACAGGAAGAGACTGCTGGAGAGCCCGTTATCTCCCTCCTCAAGAAGCAGATGTGGACTTCTCTCAGTCTGCCATCTAGAATCACACCCATGTGTGTCAAGTGGCTCAACTTCACTGGTGTTGGGTGTGCCACACAGGGCCAAATGGCTGGGATTTTAAACATCCTGCTAGACTTCTGTATCCCAAGAATACGAAAGACGGTAAACAAAAGGTTCTGCAACAGATGCACAGTCTGAATACTGCAATGTTGGAGATAATCCTTGTCCTGTGGAGCCAAGATCTTTGCCATAGGATCTTTCACTTATTGACAGTAGCTCTTCCTACATACATGTTATGGGTAAAATTGTAACAGGAATGTTTGAGACACTCATGAGAGTTCTACATAGAGGCCACCTCACTCCAACCCCAGTAATGGGGGCTGCAACACCATACAGATATGCATTCAGCCAGTTCAGGGTTCCCCATGTATTGCCCCTATAATATGCTGGGGTAAGTTACACTGATTGCTATTTCCCCAACATTTTTGCCATGTAAACATTAGATGCAGACATAAGACTGAATGAGAAGGATGAACGAGCAAGATCTCTTTAATGCAGACATAGCTCTCTTCTCAGAAATAGATCCAGCCTTCCTTTAATCAAGAAGCTGTCCATGGTTAACGGTCACTACTAGGTTTCAACAAATAAACTCTCTTCTAGCAAGACTATGCCACATCCCAAAGGGTAATGCCAAATATAAAAAATGATAGGAACCCAACACTGATTCAGCATGCCTTATACAGTACTTGCCCCAAGATCAAAGCATGGTCTGATGTAAATTTACACATAATGTGATACAGTGCAGAGAAAGGATCAAAATAAGGCTGGCATTTTCACACACATTAAAGAGCAGGTCCCACTGCCATTTAGTAAGCTGACAGGAGTATTTCATTACACAAAGTACAGCTTTTTTTTTTAAAAAAAAAAAACAGAGCAATTTGCTAAAAAAAGTTCCATCTTCTGAGTAATATTGCTATTAGGAACGTGAACTGGTAACCGGTAAGCAACACCCTTAATTAGTGATGCTTACTGGAGACTGTTTAACCGGCACGTGGAAGCAGCCCCCCAGTCCAAGCCAAGAGTACCGCACCACAGAATCATGCCTAATTGGTTAACCGATTAAACAGGACTTTACATCCCTAATTGCTGTCAATCAACACTAAACTTGCTGCTCTGCAATGACAGGGACCTCTTCTTCAGTAGATTTAGGATTCTGACTGGATTCGTTTACCGATTTCATCCACGGCTAGAATCATTTTCTCCAGTTCCTCTGGACAGATATCAGGGCAGTGCGTGAAGCCAAAGTAGATTAACACCCATTGGCCAAGGAAGTCCTTGTTAGTCCGGGGCTGTCCCTGGTGATCCACAAGTGAGAAAGGGCCTCCCAGCAATGGCTTCCCAAGAGCCCGCTTCTTCTCCTTCTCCAGCACTGAAACCAGAGCATGAGGGAAGGTTATGCTACACACACAAGAAACCAAAGACAGCTACGCCAACATGGAAAAGACAACTTTAGAAAGAAAAGTGTCACATTGTAACATTTTCCATATAAACTATATTTTACTGTGTTCCAGAAGGGGGTTATCATCAAGATGGCTGAAGTCAGGAAACATGAGCTGAGCTGGTACACCTGCAGTTAAGGGTCAGCATCTTTTAGAGAGTCTAAGAGCACATCTAGACTACAAGCCTCTTTCGAAAGAAAGCATCTAGACAACCACAAGACTTTCGAAAAAGTGATCTGATTTTTCGAAAGAGCACCCAGGCAATCTGGACGCGCGCTCTCAAAAAAACCCGTTTGCGTTCAAGAAAGAACTCTTTCAAAAAAAGGCATTCATTCTTCCTCAAAATGAGGTTTACCACTGTCAAAAAAAACCGCCACGTTCTTTCAATTTAATTTTGAAAGAACGCGACGGCAGTCTAGACACAAGTGAAAAAGGCTACTTTTTTGGAAAAAAACTATCGTCTAGATAGAGCCTTAGGGAGGAAAGGAAGTTGCTGTGTTTCCAGTCTAACTGGTTCTCAGTATCAAAACAATGAGAAAAGAACTAGGTAAGGGTTCATTATAAAAAGAGCATGATACAGTAAAGTGGTTAAAAAAGCACAACAGGGCTTGGGAATCCAGGTTCTTAAGTTTTGCACAAAGTTCCATACTCTTGGAAACAGACATCCAAGTCCAGAATAAATGTAGTAGGGATGCTAAATTGTGATTAATCAGCTAATTGAGCAGTCGATGGAATTTCCATCAACTAATCAACTAGTAGATGGGGGGGGGGGGGGGGGGCGCTCACTACCCCCGCTGTGGCTCTGCAGTTTAAGTGTAGTAGGAGCGCAGGGTGGTGGACCCAGGGCCTGACTCTTACTACATTTAAACTACAGAGCCACAGAAAGGTTAGTTCCCGGGGTTGGTGCCTCCTGCCCCAGCTCCTGCTCCCTCGCCCCTTGCTGCTTCTGATATAGAGGCGGCGGGGGATGGGGGGGGAGAATGCAAGTAATTGACTTGACAATGCAATAAGCCTACGCTTAACGGGTAGTCAGCTATTTGACTATTCTTTTACATGCCTAACTTGTATACTCTAATCTTGTCTACATGAGACTAGGTGCAATAGAACAACTTAAAACAAATCAACAAAACTACAAGTTTTAAATGAGAACTAGCGTACAGAAAATAAATTAAAACAAATGCAGCAAAGTTAAATATTGGATCAACCGAAAACAGATAAAGATTCTGTATATACACATACATGCACACAAGGTAAAAACACAAAGCGACAATCAAAGAGCAAATGGCCATGAGTTAAACAGGAAAAGGATAATAAGACTAAGAAGGCAGAACAGAAAAAGACAATGTGTACAAATTTTGGTCTGCAACTTATTTCTAGGTATAGTTAGAATTTGGGGAAAGGGGGGTTCATGTGTTTGGAAGGTATCTAGCATACTGTCCATGCACACACTCCTACTTGTCACACTTCAGAACAGCAGTACCGTAACTAGCATGGCCACAAGATCTTTTTATCTGCCCAGCTATAAATATTTGGGGGAGGAATTACAAAGGTTTTGGGATGATAATGCAATGTGTACATACTTTCTTCCTTTTTTTTCTTGAAGTATTTCATTCCTGCCAGTAAAGCTCCACCAATAGCAAATGTGAATGCCAAGGACTTCCAGGAAACTGGCTACTAGGAAAGAGATTCCATAAAAATTTAACATCAACATCTAATCTACTAAGATCTTTTTTAAACGCAGGAAGGTGCTAAGTATGTGTTTATGAAATAAACACCCAGCTCTTACTGTGGGACAGAATACCAGCAGATGAGAGAAGTTACAATCCTATTTAAAAGAACCATTCCATAGAAACCAAACCCAGGGATTTATGCAAATACAACCGCTTACACATAGACATAGGTGGCATGTTATACGGGCCCGTGGTGCCCCAGCACCAGGAATATTCCTCACCCAGGGCTGGGCTCCACCAAAGTTCTGGGGCGGGTCTCTCCCAAACCCTGCCTACCACCCCCATGCACCCCCTCCCCCAACCAACCACATCGGCTGCCCCCATGCAATTTAAAATGCCCTGGGGATTGCTTGGACCAACACTAGCGGCGCAGTGAGCGCAAAGCTGCTTCCTGTTTCTGACTCTGCGCGGCTCCTGGCAGCTCCCTGGCCCCAGAGGCGTCTGCGTCTCCACGTGCTGCCTCCCAG